TATTTTAACTCTGTACTTTAACTCTGTACTTTAACTCTGTACTTTAACTCTGTACTTTAACTCTGTATTTTAACTCTTTATTTTAACTCTGTACTTTAACTCTGTACTTTGCTGGAGTTTGTACGTTGGTGTTTCATGTTCTCGTGTTTCAGGAGCGTTCGAGTTCCGCTGGCAGCTGCGGCCCGTGCGTCTCTACCCGTCCACCGGGGGGCTCCACGTGTTCGTGATGGCAGCAGAGATCATCTACATGCTCTTTGTGCTCTACTACATGTACAAACAGGTACTCCAACGAGCCAATCAGGGGCCGGGATGAGGGAGGGAACGCCCCTCCTTAGCAACGCTGTCAATCAAACCTGTTGCTAACGCTGGGGGGCGGGACCTCGGGGAAAGAAGGCGTCTGATTGGTCTGTTTTTCTGTTCAGATCTGGATTCAGCTCCGTTTGTTTAAGACTCGCTGTGGCTCTTTTCTTCACTAAACTTTCTTCTCTCTGCTGTTTTTGTTTTGTAAAGAAGTTCACCAGAGGAAAACGTCTGGAGCCTCCTGCTTTAAACGAGGAACAGTTAGACGCCTGTAAAACATAAAACATTGTTTAGAAAAAACAAAAATGCAGCTCTTTGCTGCAGGAGCAGGTAGGGGGCGCTGTTGGAAAAAAGGATCAAAACTAAAACACAACAGACTCCAGGCTCCAAAGAAGAAAAAAATCACAAAAGGAAAAAATAAATAGTTAAAAAGTCTTTATTTAAATGATCAAAGTCGACATGTTTCGACCAAACTGGGCTTAATAATAAATAATAAAACATTATTTATTTAATTGAGCACAAAGTTCGGAAACATGAAACATGTTCAACTGTAACAGGAATTTAATCAGTCAAATGTGACTGTTTCAGCACAAAACGTGTGATTCAGAAATGTCTTTGTGAGATTTAGAAGAGTTTGAAGAGCTGCTGGAGGCTCCGAGCTGCAGGTTGGAGACTCGTCATATAAAGTTTTGTGTGTGAGGTTTCGTCTCCAGAGTTCAGCTGGGGTCAGTCAAGTGTTAACGGAGGAAACAGGGTCAGATTTTTGACATTCAAATGTGTCTTATTCAGAAACTAGAGGAACTATTGAAATAAGTAAAGTATCAGAATGTAGGAAAGAGTTACACTCCAACAGGGTCAAGTTAAACCTGTGAGATTCTTTCAAGTTCAAGACAAAAATAGTGATATTCACTTGTGACACATGAGGGCGCCAGTGAGTCAGTGAATCTTCTGCAGCTGAAGATGAGAAACGCAGCTCAGTTTGTCCAAAAAGAAAAAAGATAAAACAGCAAAGATCAGAGACTTCAGCAGATTTATGGACGGATCCTTTTATTTCTGCTTCAGTGTTTTTCTTTGTTTAAAACTTAAGTAAAACTAAATGTTCAGAGACACGAGTTTGTCACAACAGTAAAAACTCATGTTCAGTAATGACAAAAATACACCTTTATTTTGTGATTTATGAATAACGTCTGTGGACTCGGGTCGTGAAGGTTTGTCACTTTTAAAATATGAGTCCCCAGAAAAAACAGTTTGGGAAACACTGGTTTATGTGATAACATGACCTGACTGGTGCAGGTCGTGGGAAGAGCAGGAGTCAGGTCCAGGTCACAGACACACGTCACGTCTGTGTTTCCATGAGTTTATTATTAGTGGTGTCAAATTATCATGTTAATTGAGATTAATTAATTACAGTCATATTTAGTGCGTTATGTTTTTTAATCGTGTTAATCTTATTTTTAATCTGTAACTTTACTGTTTCTGTACATGAGTTGATTTATTATAAAATGTGTTTTTATGTTGTTGGGACACAGTCGCACTGTTCAGTCCTGCTCCACTCGCTCCTGCAAACAAATGTCATTTTCATTCTCGTTCTCGTCGCATCTGTGATAAACCTGCACATGTCTGAAAACATCACGACACAAACACAGAACAGACTCAACATCATCAGAACACCCCTCTGACACAGAGAGAACACCCCTCTGACACAGAGAGAACACCCCTCTGTCACAGAGAGAACACCCCTCTGACACAGAGAGAACACCCCTCTGTCACACAGAGAGAGAACACCCCTCTGACACAGAGAGAACACCCTCTGACACAGAGAGAAACCCCTCTGTACACAGAGAGAACACCCCTCTGACACACAGAGAGAACACCCCTCTGACACAGAGAGAACACCCCTCTGTCACAGAGAGAACACCCCTCTGACACAGAGAGAACACCCCTCTGACACAGAGAGAACACCCCTCTGTCACAGAAGAACACCCTCTGACACAGAGAGAACACCCCTCTGACACAGAGAGAACACCCCTCTGTCACAGAGAGACACCCCTCTGTCACAGAGAGAACACCCCTCTGACACAGAGAGAACACCCTCTGACACACCACAGACACAGAGAGAACACCCCTCTGACACAGAGAGAACACCCCTCTGACACACAGAGAGAACACCCCTCTGTCACAGAGAGAACACACCCTCTGTCACAGAGAGAACACCCCTCTGACACAGAGAGAAACACCCCTCTGACACAGAGAGAACACCCCTCTGTCACAGAGAACACCCTCTGTCACAGAGAGAACACCCTCTGACACAGAAGAGAACCCCTCTGACACAGAGAGAACACACCCTCTGTCACAGAGAGAACACCCCTCTGTCACAGAGAGAACACCCTCTCACAGAGAGAACACCCCTCTGACACAGAGAGAAACCCCTCTGACACCCCTCTGACACAGAGAGAACACCCCTCTGTCACACAGAGAGAACACCCCTCTGACACAGAGAGAACACCCCTCTGTCACACAGAGAGAGAACACCCCTCTGTCACACAGAGAGAACACCCCTCTGTCACAGAGAGAACACCCCTCTGACACAGAGAGAACACCCCTCTGTCACAGAGAGAACACCCTCTGTCACACAGAGAGAACACCCCTCTGTCACAGAGAGAACACCCTCTGACACAGAGAGAACACCCCTCTGTCACAGAGAGAACACCCCTCTCACACAGAGAGAACACCCTCTGACACAGAGAGAACACCCTCTGTCACAGAGAGAACACCCCTCTGACACAGAGAGAACACCTCTGACACAGAGAGAACCCCTCTGACACAGAGAGAACACCCTCTGTCACACAGAGAACACCCCTCTGACACAGAGAGAACACCCCTCTGAACACACAGAGAACACCCCTCTGTCACACAGAGAGAACACCCCTCTGTCACAGAGAAACCCCTCTGTCACAGAGAGAACACCCCTCTGACACACAGAGAGACACCCTCTGACACAGAGAGAACACCCTCTGTCACAGAGAGAACACCCCTCTGACACAGAGAGAACACCCCTCTGACACACAGAGAACACCCCTCTGTCACACAGAGAGAACACCCCTCTGTCACAGAGAACACCTCTGACACAGAGAGAACACCCTCTGTCACAGAGAACACCCTCTGTCACACAGAGAGAACACCCCTCTGTCACAGAGAGAACACCCCTCTCAACACCCCTCTGAGAGAACACCCCTCTCACAGAGAGAACACACAGAGAGACACCTCTGACACAGAGAGAACACCCCTCTGACACAGAGAGAACACCCCTCTGACACAGAGAGAACACCCCTCTGTCACAGAGAGAACACCCCTCTGACACAGAGAAACCCCTCTGTCACAGAGAGAACACCCTCTGACACAGAGAGAACACCCCTCTGTCACAGAGAGAAACCCCTCTGTCACAGAGAGAACACCCTCTGCACAGAGAGAACACCCCTCTGACACACAGAGAGAACACCCCTCTGTCACACAGAGAGAACACCCCTCTGACACAGAGAGAACACCCCTCTGTCACAGAGAGAACACCCCTCTGACACAGGGAGAACACCCCTCTGACACAGGGAGAACACCCCTCTGACACAGAGAGAACACCCCTCTGTCACACAGAGAGAGAGAACACCCCTCTGTCACAGAGAGAACACACAGAGAGAACCCCCTCTGACACAGAGAGAACACCCCTCTGTCACAGAGAGAACACCCCCTCTCAGAGAGAACACCTGTCACAGAGAGAACACCCCTCTGACACAGGGAGAACACCCCTCTGACACAGGAGAACACCCCTCTGTCACAGGGAGAACACTCATATTCCACTGAGTCGTGTCTTTAGTCCGACACAAACTGAACCACATCAGACACACGAGCGTTTGTTTCTTTTTTCTTTCTTTTTTTTTCTTTTCTCTCTCGCTCTTGTCCAAACTATGGCCCGTGGGCCAAATGCGGCCCTCAGACAATTTTTTCTTGGCCCTCAGGCTTCCAGGTGAATTGGCCCAAATGATCTTGCATCAATGAAAAATTTATTTTTTACTGCAAGTTTTTTGAAAATCGCCCTTGATAAAGTGAATATTTCATATTTGGTGTGTGGAAAGTCTCATGTCTCATTCTAACGACTTAAACATATTTATGAACATTAACATTAAACATATTTATGAACATTAACATTAAACATATTTATGAACATTAACATTAAACATATTTATGAACATTAACATTAAACATATTTATGAACATATTTGAATGATCGACTGGACGGAGCCTCAGTCTGTGGCTCTCGATCGACTCTGCTTCATTGATGAACAGAGTTTGGACTCTGCTGATCTCGAGTGTTTCTGTTTATATGTTGTAAAGTTGAGTTTATTTATTCAGATTAGTAACAGTAATAATCATGATATTTATATAAAAACATTAATAATAGTATGAGAAACAATGTAATCATGAATTTAAATGAAAATACCTCAAGTTGAAGCTTTTCTCAGCAATTTTCAGGTGAGATTAAAAAGAGATTAATTAGATGAATTAATTACAGATCATAATTAATTAATCTCTACATGTTTAAATCTCTTGACAGCACTAATATTTACATTTGGATTTGGACTTTCAGACTCACTTGTTCTGATCCAGACGCTCAGAACATCGAGCGTTTTGACTCTTTGGTAAAGTTTGGACCAATCAAAATGGACAGAGCCAAACAAACTTCCTGTTGGATAAATCTGTGCAGTTAATAACATTTTGATAGAGATTTTTGATTTGTGAGTCAAACGAGCTCCAAACTCAAATAATCGAGATGAAACGATCTTAATAAAGTTTATTTTGAGATATTTTTTATATAAATATGTTTATTTATTTGACTGTTTAAATACAGAGACTGTAGAGGAGCTGGATATAAAGTTTATTTTGGAGATATTTATGTTTTTCTGCTTTATTTCATGGTCAAAGTTTATTTTATTCATTTTTATACATTGTAAAACTGATCTAAGGTTCAGATTTATAGACGTGATTTATTTTCTATTTGAAAGTTTTGCCTAAATGATCAATAACAAAGTGTTTGTTTAGAATAAATGCATCGTTTGAATAATCGTGATTTCAATATTGACCAAAATAATCGTGATAAACGAGTCCAAATGTCCAAATGCAGGAAAACTGCTCAGAAAGACGCAACTTTTTGAGGAAAAAAATGCGCAGATTTCTGTCTTTTATGGTTGTAAAGTTTAACTCAGTTTTACGAAACATAAACAAACAAACAGTTGGTCTTTAAAAAAGTTCCACATCACGTCCCACAGCAGCAGCAGCGCGACCTCACGGTGTCCCGGGCTGGTGTCTTGCTCGTGGGCACAGGGGCAGACTCTCTCTTCTCTGGCGCAGGTGCAGAGGTTGAGGGTTCAACGCTGGGTTTACCTCAGGAACCGCTGGAACCTGCTGGAGCTGAGCATCATCGCCCTCTCCTGGACCGGAGCAGGACTGTACCTGCAGAGAACCTTGAGCGCACACAAGGACATCGAGTACTACCAGCAGCACAGAGACAAGTACTACAAATACTACAAATACTACAAATACTACAGTACTGTTAGGACACAAGGACATCGAGTACTACCAGCAGCACAGAGACAAGTACTACAAATACTACAAATACTACAAATACTACAGTACTGTTAGGACACAAGGACATCGAGTACTACCAGCAGCACAGAGACAAGTACTACAAATACTACAAATACTACAAATACTACAGTACTGTTAGGACACAAGGACATCGAGTACTACCAGCAGCACAGAGACAAGTACTACAAATACTACAAATACTACAAATACTACAAATACTACAAATACTGTTAGGACACAAGGACATCGAGTACTACCAGCAGCACAGAGACAAGTACTACAAATACTACAAATACTACAAATACTACAAATACTGTTAGGACACAAGGACATCGAGTACTACCAGCAGCACAGAGACAAGTATGAGTACTTCAGATACTGCTGTTCCAGGTCTTGGAGGTCCAGACCTGGTCCAGACCTGGTCCAGACCTGGTCCAGACCTGGTTCAGTCCTGGTCTAGTCCTGGTTCAGTCCTGGTTCTCTCCTCAGGTTCCCCAGTTTCTGCTCCTCGGCCTCCTCAGATGTTCTCCTTCAGTACCTGTTGGCCTTCGTGGTTCTTCTGTCCACGGTGAAGCTCTGGCATCTCCTCAGACTCAACCCCAACATGGAGCTGATCTCCTCCACCCTGAGCCGCGCCTCCGGGGACATAACCGGCTTCCTCCTGGTCATCGGGCTCATGATGGTCGCCTACGCCACCACCGTGAGTCTGAGTTTAGTCCTGGTTTAGACCTGGTTTAGTCCTGGTTTAGACCTGGTTCAGTCCTGGTTTAGACCTGGTTTAGACCTGGTTCAGTCCTGGTTCAGTCCTGGACCTTTTAGACCTGGTTTAGTCCTGGTTTAGACCGGTTTAGTCCTGGTTTAGACCTGGTTTAGACCTGGTTTAGACCTGGTTCAGTCCTGGTTCAGTCCTGGTTTAGACCTGGTTCAGTCCTGGTTTAGACCTGGTTTAGACCTGGTTTAGTCCTGGTTCAGTCCTGGTTCAGTCCTGTTCTTCTGTCTCAGTGTAACGTTCTTTACGGTTGGACGATGTCGTCGTACAAAACGTTCCCGGACGCTCTGCTCACGATCATCCAACTGCAGCTGGGGATCTTCAACTACAGCGAGGTACTCCCCCGAAACTGCCCCCGACCTGCCCAGACCTGCCCCCGACCTGCCCCCGACCTGACCTGCCCCGACCTGCCTCTAAACTCGGCCTGGTTCTTCTCACTCTGGTCTTGTCTCCTCAGGTGATGGACTACAGTCCGGTTCTTGGAGCTCTTCTGGTCGGTTCTTGCATCGTCTTCATGGGGTTTGTGGCCCTGAACCTCCTGATCTCTGTGATCCTGGTGGCCTTCCAACAGGAGCAGGTCCAGCACCAGGTAAAGACCTGGTTTAGATCTGGTTTAGTCCTGGTTTAGACCTGGTTTAGTCCTGGTTTAGACCTGGTTTAGACCTGGTTTAGTCCTGGTTTAGTCCTGGTTTAGACCTGGTTTAGTCCTGGTTTAGACCTGGTTTAGACCTGGTTTAGTCCTGGTTTAGTCCTGGTTTAGACCTGGTTTAGTCCTGGTTTAGTCCTGGTTTAGTTCCTGGTTTAGTCCTGGTTTAGTCCTGGTTTAGACCTGGTTTAGACCTGGTTTAGTCCTGGTTCAGTATCAGTCGTGAATCAGACATAGACTATTTTTATCAGGAAACGACGTCTTTTACTCAAATACAGTCGACTTTATGTCAGGAGGATTTTTTCGTGTTCTTCTTGTTTTTCCACATTCTTCTTATGTTTTTTCTCGTGTTCTCCTGATGTTCCTCCGTGTTCTCCTGATGTTCCTCCGTGTTCTCCTGATGTTCCATGTTCTCCTGATGTTTCTCCATGTTCTCCTGATGTTCCTCCGTGTTCTCCTGATGTCTTCTTGTGTTCTCCTGATGTTCCTCCATGTTCCTTTGATGTCTCCTGATGTTCTTTTGATGTTCTCCGTGTTCTCCTGATGTTCCTCTCCTGATGTTCCTCTGTGTTCTCCTGATGTTCCTCCGTGTTCTCCTGATGTTCCTCCATGTTCTCCTGATGTTCCTCCATGTTCTCCTGATGTTCCTCATGTTCTCCTGTCTCCTGATGTCTGTGTTCTCTCCTGATGTTCCTGTGTTCTCCTGTTGTTTCGTGTCTCTCTGATGTTCTCCTGTTCCTCCGTTCTCCTGTTCCTTGTTCCTGTTCCTCCTGTTCCTCCGTGTTCTCCTATGTTCCTCCATGTTCTCCTGATGTTCCTCCGTGTTCTCCTGATGTTCCTCTGATGTCTCCCTGTTGTGATCCTCTCCTCTGATGTTCTCCTGATGTTCCTCCTGATGTTCTCCTGATGTTCTCTGATGTTCCTCCGTGTTCTCCTGATGTTCCTCGTGTTCTCCTGATGTTCTCCGTGTTCTCCTGATGTTTCCTCCGTGTTCTCCTCTGTTCTCCTGATGTTCTCATGTTCTCCGTGTTCTCCTGATGTCCTCCCTCCTGATGTTCTCCTGATGTTCCTCCTCCTGATGTTCTCCTGATGTTTCCTCCGTGTTCTCCTGATGTTCCCTCCTGTGTTCTCCTGATGTTCCTTCCGTGTTCTCCTGATGTTCCTCCGTGTTCTCCTGATGTTTCCTCCGTGTTCTCCTGATGTTTCCTCCTGTGTTTCTCCTGATGTTCCTCCGTGTTCTCCTGATGTTTCCTCTCCGTGTTCTCCTGTGTTCCTCCGTGTTCTCCTGATGTTTCCTCCCTGATGTTCTCCTGATGTTCCTCCGTGTTCTCCTGATGTTCCTCCGTGTTCTCCTGATGTTCCCTCCTGTGTTTCTCTCCTGATGTTCCTCCGTGTTCTCCTGTTCTCCTGTGTTCTCCTGATGTTCCTCTGTGTTCTCCTGATGTTCCTCCGTGTTCTCCTGATGTTCCTCCGTGTTCTCCTGATGTTCTCCTGATGTTCCTCCGTGTTCTCCTGATGTTCCTCCGTGTTCTCCTGATGTTTCCTCCTGATGTTCCTCCGTGTTCTCCTGATGTTTCTTCTCCGTGTTCTCCTGATGTTCCTCCTGATGTTCTCCTGATGTTCCTCCGTGTTCTCCGATGTTCCTCCGTGTTCCTCCTTTTGATGTTCCTCCGATGTTCCTCCATGTTCCTCCGTGTTCTCCTGATGTTCCTCCATGTTCTCCTGATGTTTCCATGTTCTCCTGATGTTCCTCCGTGTTCTCCTGATGTTCCTCCGTGTTCTCCTGATGTTCCTCCGTGTTCTCCTGATGTTCCTCCGTGTTCTCCTGATGTTCCTCCGTGTTCTCCTGATGTTCCTCCGTGTTCTTTTGATGTTCCTCCGTGTTCTCCTGATGTTCCTCCGTGTTCTCCTGATGTTCCTCCGTGTTCTCCTGATGTTCCTCCGTGTTTTCCTGATGTTCCTCCGTGTTCTCCTGATGTTCCTCCGTGTTTCTCCTGATGTTCCTCCGTGTTCTTTTGATGTTCCTCCGTGTTCTCCTGATGTTCCTCCGTGTTTTCCTGATGTTCCTCCGTGTTTTCCTGATGTTCCTCCATGTTCTCCTGATGTTCCTCCGTGTTCTCCTGATGTTCCTCCGTGTTCTCCTGATGTTCCTCCGTGTTCTCCTGATGTTCCTCCGTGTTCTTTTGATGTTCCTCCGTGTTCTCCTGATGTTCCTCCGTGTTCTCCTGATGTTCCTCTGTGTTCTGCAGCCGTCGGAGGAGGAGGAGGTGGTGCAGATCATGCTGAAGAAGGTCTTGGGTCTGTTCGGCGTCAGTTACACGGTGCCCCCCTCAGACCAGGACGAGAAGTTCGCCCGCGCCGAGGATTCTGGGAAAAACGCCGAGGCAGCTGCGACCACGGCGACCAAAGCCTGAGGGGGCGGGGCTTAAAGATGCACTGTGGAACATTTCTGACACAAATAACCCTGAGGAATATTTCAGGCAAAGCAGTAACATCTACATGGAGATAAGAGCGCGGAGCTTCCACCAGAAAAGTTCCACAGTGCAGCTTTAACATGACATAAAATCAAAACCTTTAAAGAGGCGTGTTCTGTGTTCTGTGGAGTTTTCTTCTGTTCTCCTCATGGTTCTCCATGTTCTCCTCATGGTTCTCCGTGTTCTCCTCATGGTTCTCCGTGTTCTCCTCATGGTTCTCTGTGTTCTCCTCATGCTTCTCCGTGTTCTCCTCATGGTTCTCCGTGTTCTCCTCATGGTTCTCCGTGTTCTCCTCATGTTTCTCCGAGTTCTCCTCATGTTTTTCTGAGTTCTCCTCATGTTCTTCCGTGTTCTCCTCATGCTTCTCCGTGTTCTCCTCATGGTTCTCCGTGTTCTCCTCATGTTTCTCCGAGTTCTCCTCATGTTTCTCCGTGTTCTCCTCATGTTTTTCTGAGTTCTCATGTTCCTCCGTGTTCTCCTCATGCTTCTCCGTGTTCTCCTCATGTTCCTCCGTGTTCTCCTCATGGTTCTCCGAGTTCTCCTCATGTTCCTCCGTGTTCTCCTCATGGTTCTCCGTGTTCTCCTCATGGTTCTCCGTGTTCTCCTCATGGTTCTCTGTGTTCTCCTCATGCTTCTCCGTGTTCTCCTCATGGTTCTCCGTGTTCTCCTCATGGTTCTCCGTGTTCTCCTCATGGTTCTCCGTGTTCTCCTCATGTTTCTCCGAGTTCTCCTCATGCTTCTCCGTGTTCTCCTCATGGTTCTCCGTGTTCTCCTCATGTTTCTCCGAGTTCTCCTCATGTTTCTACGTGTTCTCCTCATGTTTTTCTGAGTTCTCATGTTCCTCCGTGTTCTCCTCATGCTTCTCCGTGTTCTCCTCATGTTCCTCCGTGTTCTCCTCATGGTTCTCCGAGTTCTCCTCATGTTCCTCCGTGTTCTCCTCATGGTTCTCCGTGTTCTCCTCATGTTTTTCTGAGTTCTCCTCATGCTTCTCCGTGTTCTCATGTTTTTCCATGTTCTCATGTTCTTCCGTGTTCTCCTCATGTTTTTCTGAGTTCTCCTCATGTTCCTCCGTGTTCTCCTCATGCTTCTCCGTGTTCTCCTCATGGTTCTCCGTGTTCTCCTCATGTTCCTCCGTGTTCTCCTCATGCTTCTCCGTGTTCTCCTCATGTTTTTCTGAGTTCTCCTCATGTTTTTCCATGTTCTCATGTTCCTCCGTGTTCTCCTCATGTTTTTCCGTGTTCTCCTCATGTTCCTCCTGTTCTACAGAGTTTTGTTCTGTTCTGTCATGTTCTAACGATGTTCCTCCTCATGAACCTGCCCCAAGAGTCGAGACTCCTCCAAGATCGTTTGAGTCTAGAGTCTTACAACGTTCTTGTGTTTCTCTGTGTTCTTCTTATTTTATTTCCATGTTCTTGTATTATTTCTGTGTTCTTCTCATGTTCTTACGTTTTTTTCCGTGTTCTTTTCATTTTATTTTGGTGTTATTTTCATTTTTCCCTCGTGTTCTTCTCATGTTTGTTTGTGTTTTTCATGTTCTTTGTTCTAAATCGTGTTCATTTGGAGTTTTGTGTGAATAGAACATTTTAAAAACAGTAAAATAAACCTGTAGATCTGATTGTGTCGTGTTACAGGAGGAAATGTCCCAGTGTGATTCTTTCATTTCTGAGCAGAATTATAAATAAAATAGTTTTTGTTCGGGTTCATTCTCTTTTCTTTCCTTTGGATCTTTAGTTTTAGACCTGGTTTAGTCCTGGTTTAGATCTGGTTTAGACCATGAGAGTCGTTCTTGTCTCCTCTTTTCGTCCCTCTCCTCCTCTTTCCCTCAGACGTTCCTCCGCGTTCCGGTCGGTTCTCCTCTGACCCTGTGAGTGACTCGTGGGGCTGTCAGTCACTGCGTTGCCGTGGAAACAGAGCGAGCGGAGCAAAGCCTCATGGGAGTTGGAGTTTCTCACACGTTCATGTGAAAAACAGATTTGAATCCGACGTGACGAGGAAATCCGGTTCAAATCCCAGACCTGGATCCAAACCGGACTCTGGAGATCCGGACCAAATTCTGCCGACCTTTGACCCCACGCTGCAGCTGCACATTCCCACAAGTGTCAAGACTAAACCAGGACTAAACCAGGACTAAACCAGAACTAAACCAGGACTAAACCAGGACTAAACCAGAACTAAACCAGGACTAAACCAGAACTAAACCAGGACTAAACCAGGACTAAACCAGAACTAAACCAGGACTAAACCAGGACTAAACCAGAACTAAACCAGGACTAAACCAGGACTAAACCAGAACTAAACCAGGACTAAAACCAGGACTAAACCAGAACTAAACCAGGACTAAACCAGGACTAAACCAGGACTAAATCAGGACTAAACCAGAACTAAACCAGGACTAAACCAGGACTAAACCAGGACTAAACCAGGTCTAAACCAGGACTAAACCAGAACTAAACCAGGACTAAACCAGAACTAAACCAGAACTAAACCAGGACTAAACCAGAACTAAACCAGACTAAACCAGGACTAAACCAGGACTAAACCAGGACTAAACCAGAACTAAACCAGAACTAAACAAGGACTAAACCAGGACTAAACCAGGACTAAACCAGGTCTAAACCAGGACTAAATCAGGACTAAACCAGAACTAAACCAGGACTAAACCAGGACTAAACCAGGATTAAATCAGGACTACAGACTCAGACCCAGACCCAGACTCAGACTTTTCACTCATTTATTCCTCGATTTTGATGAAAAGAACAAATCGACTTTTACAAATTTTCTTCTGCGTCGTTTTAAAATCCCTTTTACAAAAATCTGTAAATGTGACGTTTTCTTCACGTGGTTTTCAGAATCAAGTCAAACATAAACATTTTATCAAACGAAACATTTAAAGATGCACCACGGAACTTTTCTGGAAGATCTGAACCACAGAAGTGTCCTGAAGACGTCACCTTCAACATCCTCCGTCCTGATTGGCTCTTTGGTGACCACGACACTCAAAACCCAAACTCAAGTCCTGGTTTAGTCCTGGTTCAGTCCTGGTTTAGTCCTGGTTTAGTCCTGGTTTAGACCTGGTTTAGTCCTGGTTTAGTTCTGGTTTAGTCCTGGTTTAGTCCTGGTTTAGTCCTGGTTTAGTCCTGGTTCAGTCCTGGTTTAGTCTGGTTTAGTCTGGTTTAGTTCTGGTTTAGTCCTGGTTTAGTTCTGGTTTAGTTCTGGTTTAGTCCTGGTTTAGTCTGGTTTAGTCCTGGTTTAGTTCTGGTTTAGTCCTGGTTTAGTTCTGGTTTAGTTCTGGTTTAGTCCTGGTTTAGTTCTGGTTTAGTTCTGGTTTAGTTCTGGTTTAGTTCTGGTTTAGTCCTGGTTTAGTTCTGGTTTAGTTCTGGTTTAGTTTAGTTCTGGTTTAGTTCTGGTTTAGTCTGGTTTAGTCTGGTTTAGTTCTGGTTTTCTGGTTTAGTCTGGTTTAGTCCTGGTTTAGTTCTGGTTTAGTTCTGGTTTAGTTCTGGTTTAGTCCTGGTTTAGTTCTGGTTTAGTCCTGGTGGTGTGAGTAAAAGTACTACAGTCGTAGTACAAGTATCATAGTTGTTGTGATGATGATGTAAAAACATGTTGAAGTAAAAACAGGAGGCACATGACTTTAAAGCTTCACTGTGGAACATTCCAGCCAAAGTGAAGCCCCGCCCCCCTGCCCAGGAAAGTTCCGTAGTGCAACTTTACAGGAGAAAAAGTTTTGAGTTTAAAGACACAAAGATGAAAGAAGAACAAATGGAAACAGCAGCAGTAGTAGTAGTAGTAGTAGTAAAAGTACAAGGAGTTATAGTAGTTGAAGTAAGAGTAGCAGTTGTAGCAGGAGTTATAGAAGAAAAAATAGCTGAAGTACTTGTAGTAATAGTAGTAGTAGTAGTAGTAGTAGTAGTTGTTGTTGTTATAATAGTAAAAGTAGTCGTAGTACTCATAGTAGTACTTGTACTTGTACAGTCCTTGTATTTATCGTAGTTCTTGCACTCGTAGCAGTACTTGTAGTCATAGCAGTACTTGTAGTTGTAGCAGTACTTGTACTTGTAGTTGTAGCAGTACTTGTAGTTGTAGCAGTACTTGTACTTGTAGTTGTAGCAGTACTTGTACTTGTAGTTGTAGCAGTACTTGTAGTTGTAGCAGTACTTGTAGTTGTAGCAGTACTTGTAGTTGTAGCAGTACTTGCAGTTGTAGCAGTACTTGTAGTTGTAGCAGTACTTGTACTTGTAGTTGTAGCAGTACTTGTAGTTGTAGCAGTACTTGTAGTTGTAGCAGTACTTGCAGTTGTAGCAGTACTTGTAGTTGTAGCAGTACTTGCAGTTGTAGCAGTACTTGTAGCCATGGCAGTAGTAACAATAATAGCAGTAGTTGTAATAGTAAAAGTAGTTGTAGTACTCGCAGTGGTACTTGTACTTTAGTAGCACTTGTACCCATTGTAGTAATTATTGTAATAGTAGTAGTAGTATCAGTAGCAGTGGGAGCAGTAGTAGTAGCTGTTAAAATAGTAAAAGTACTTGTAGTACTCGTAGTAGCAGTCCTTGTACTCGTCTTTGTAATTGTGTTAGTCCTCGTCCTCGTCGTCCTCGTGGTCCTCGTGGTCCTCGTCCTCGTGGTCCTCGTGGTCCTCGTCCTCGTGGTCCTCGTGGTCCTCGTCCTCGTGGTCCTCGTGGTCCTCGTGGTCCTCGTGGTCCTCGTCCTCGTCCTCGTGGTCCTCGTGGTCCTCGTCCTCGTGGTCCTCGTCCTCGTGGTCCTCGTGGTCCTCGTGGTCCTCGTGGTCCTCGTGGTCCTCGTCCTCGTGGTCGTGGTCCCTCAGACGATGCCCTCGCTGCGCTTGCTCCTCCACACCACCAGGGCCGTCATGAGCAGCGTGACGAGGACGGGCCCCAGGATGAAGGGCCCGCTCACCTGCGTGGGCGGGTCCCGCAGCAGCCGGCCAATCAGAGCGCAGTCGCTGAAGTACTTCCTGTGCACCGACACGAAGAAGGCGTCGACCTCACGGTTCGGCCAATAGCAGCCGAGCTTCAGAGCCACGACGAACGAGCAGTTTGTGAGCTCCCCATAAGACCTGAAACAGACCGAGACCAGGACCGGGTTTAGACCAGACCAAGACCGAGACCAGGACCGGGACTGGGTTTGGACCACAGACCAGATCTGTGCCCAGAGACCAGTGTCCAGTACGTGTAGTACTTGTAGTCCTTGTAGTACGTGTAGTCCTTGTAGTCCTTGTAGTACGTGTAGTACTTGTAGTACCTTGTAGTAGTACGTGTAGTACTTGTAGTACTTGTAGTACTTGTAGTTGTAGTACTTGTAGTACTTGTAGTACTTGTAGTACTTGTAGTACTCACTCCAGCGTGTCCTCCCAGCTGCACCATTGGTTCTGGTCCAGTTGTTCCATGTCCAAACTGAACCGGGTCAAACAGAACTGGTCCACGGCCTCCAGGTACTCGGGCCCACAGGCCTGGACCAGAACCGGGACCAGAACCGGGACCAGAACCGGGACCAGACCCGACATCACTGCAGGAGAAAGACACTGTCAACACTGATCCTGTCCCGGCGCCATTTTGAGGACTTTTCACACTTTAACAACAGAACAACAAAACAACAAAACAACAAAACAACAACAACAACAAACAACAAAACAACAGAACAACAGAACAAAACAACAGAAAACAAACAAACAACAAAACAACAAAAACAACAACAGAACAACAGAACAACAACAACAACAAAACAACAAAACAACAACAACAAAACAACAAAACAACAACAAAAACAACAAAACAACAAAAACAACAGACAACAACAACAAAAACAACAAAACAACAGAAAACAACAGAACAACAAAACAACAAAACAACAGAACAACAGAACAACAAAACAACAGAACAACAAAACAACAAAACAACAGAACAACAGAACAACAGAACAAACAACAGAACAACAGAACAACAGAACATCAGAACTTTAGAACATTAGAACCTGGATTTTACAGAAACACGTTCCCCATGAGCAACACACCAGGACACACCTCCTGGTCACACAAACTGTGGAGCCTCATGTGACCAGACCTCACAAACAAATCCAGACCTGGTCCAGACCTGGTCCAGACCTGGTCCTGGTCCAGACCTGGTCCTGGTCCAGAGCTCTGTGGGCTGTGTGATGTTTTTAAAGCTGTATTCTGTCACTTTCCTGCTGGTCTCTGTGTCTGTGTCTCTGTTACGGCTCAGATCTGTGGAGCGGCCGAACCAGGTTTTTTCAGGATCTTTGTTTAAAACGTGACGACAGCGTCTCCATGGAGACGACAGGTGACGGACCTGCCGCTGAGCAACTGTCACACGCGGCGCGTGCTCGTGCCCCGCGGGGCTCGGCCCGGTTCGGTCCGGATCAGATTCCCGCGGCTTTGTCTCGCCGCGCGCGACCCGCGGCTCACGTGTCCCACAACAGAAGCGCGTGCGCGTTCACTCACCGAACAGCAGCCCGAGGCGCGCGCCCAGGCTCCGGTCCGCGCCGTGCCGCGCCATTCCGCCGCTCCGCACCGCTCCGCACCGCACCGCGCTTCAGCCGCAGAGCCTCAGCCCGCTTTGACCGCGGACCAGAACCGGACCAGAACCGAGAGGGACACCGGAGAGACGCGACACGCGCGCACTGGACCGCAGAGGCGGCGCGGATCAGCGCGCACGCGCCACCGCGTCCATCTCAACCATGTCCAGTCCGGGACTAAAGCAGGTCCAAACCGGGACTAAAACCGGGACTAAAGCAGGTCCAGTAGAGCAGGTCCAGTCCGGGACTAGACCGGGTCCAGTCCGTGAGTCTCTTGTCGCGTCGCGCGCTCTGTGCTCGCTCCCGCCGCGGACTCGGCTCGCGTGCCCGTGAGCCGGTGTGAGTCAGAGCGCGCGACACACGCACACGCCGCGGGTGCACGCGCTTGGATAAAGTTGGCTTTGGAGGAGCTCGTGCGCGCGCGCAGCCGCGCGGAAAACTGCGGGAAATAGAGCGAAAAACACCGAGGAATGAGACAGGTGCAGACAGGTGCAGAGACAAGTGCAGACAGGTGCAGAGACAAGTGCAGACAGGTGCAGAGCGGCAGGTGCAGAGCGGCAGGTGCAGAGCAGTGCAGGTGCATAGAGGCAGGTGCAGAGCGGCAGGTGCAGATGCAGAGCGGCAGGTGCAGAGCGGCAGGTGCAGGTGCAGAGCGGCAGGTGCAGAGTTTTACTGTCCGCCGCTGAACAAAATCTAAACTAAAGTGAAATAAAATCTGTGGATCAGTTCGTGTTCGTCGCGGCTGTTGAAGTGTCACTTTGTGCTACGAGGAAACTTCGGAGTGTCGCTCAGGGACCGTGTGTGTGTGTGTGTGTGTGTGTGTGTGTGTGTGTGTGTGTGTGTGTGTGTGTGTGTGTGTGTGTGTGTGTGTGTGTGTGTGTGTGTGTGTGTGTGTGTGTGTGTGTGTGTGTGTGTGTGTGTGTGTGTGTGTGTGTGTGTGTGGACTGGTGGCGCCCTCTGCTGGACGTGTGCGGTGACGTGGGTTTCTCACCTGAAACAGAAAAAACTCAGTAAAAGTTTTGTTCTTGTGCAAAGAACAGAGGCCCATGTCTGAAAACTTTTATTTTATTTTCAATTTTGTATTTATTTTTTTTTTAATATTTATTATTATGTTTTTTTAATTTATTATCACTATTATATTATATTATTTATATATATATATATATATATATATATATATATATACATATATATATATATATATATGTTTTGCAGGTCGGTGTGTTTTTGTTTATTCCGATGTTTCTGTCAAGAGGAAAACTCAGTCGTCTCTGTGTTTGTGTCGGTTTAAAGTTTTAAAAACTTCAGAAAATATGTAAAAAAATGTAAATAATAATCAAATAAAAAAACCCTGTCCAGACGGTTTCTTCTCACGTCCCGGTGCAGAGGAGGTTTTCACTCGGAGGCGGCGCCGGCGTCTTTCTCCACACGGGGGCGGAGTTTCCCCGCTGATGTTCTACAGTGACGTCACACTGGGGGAGTCCTACATGTGTGTGCACGGCACAAAGTTCATGGAGACACAATGACCACCTCAGCAAACAGAGTCCAGACGTCCCCGTGTCCCCAGGACCGTCCCTCTGTCCTTGTGTCCCTCTGTCTCTGTGTCCCTCTGTCCTTGTGTCCCTCTGTCTCTGTGTCCCTCTGTCTCTGTGTCCCTCTGTCCTTGTGTCCCTCTGTCTCTGTGTCCCTCTGTCTCTTGTCCCTCTGTGTCCCTCTGTCCTTGTGTCCCTCTGTCTCTGTGTCCCTCTGTCTCTGTGTCTCTGTGTCCCTCTGTCCTTGTGTCCCACAGTTTTACAGTGATTTGTCCAAATTAACAGAGAAATGTCCCAGTGTTTGTGTTTTTTACACCTGTCGACGTTAAAGAGAAATAAACTTTTGTTTTGGTAAAACACAGAAAATCTGATAAAAAATGTGACTCGTGTTTGTCGTTAAAGAGTCGAGTTCAGTTTCCTTCATCACGTTTCACTCGATTCACTGTTTTATTTTTACAAACCGAGTCTCCTGCTTTATGATTCAGAAAATCTGTTCAGTCTCAGCAAACAAAACAAAACTAGATGTGATTTAAAAAACATGTTTTCATGTTTCTGTGATCAGTGCAAGAGCCTCGTCTGTTCACTTTGATTTAACACTAAAAGAGTAAAACTCAGTCACAGAGTCAGAGTCAGACAGAGCAGTGCCTCCTGTAGCATCACACCCAGGAACTTTACACACGAGTGTGAGGGACACCTGCCCCAGGGCAGCTGTGGCCACACGACAGAACACACACAACAGACCAACACACACACACAACAGACCAACACACACACACAACAGACCAACACACACACACAACAGACCAACACACACACACAACAGACCAACACACACACACAACAGACCAACAACACACACAACAGACCAACACACACACACAGACACACACACACACAACACAACACACACACAACAGACACACACACACACACAACACACACACAACAGACCAACACACACACACAACAGACCAACACACACACACAACAGACCAACACACACACAACAGACCAACACACACCACAACAGACACCAACACACACACACAACAGACAACAACACACACAACAGACACACACACAACACAACACACACAACAGACCAACACACACACAACAGACCAACACACACACAACAGACCAACACACACAACAACACACACACACACACACAACAGACAACACACACACACAACAGACAACACACACAACAGACCAACACACACACCAACAACACACACACACAACAGACCAACACACAACACAACAGACCAACACACACACACAACAGACCAACACACACACACAACAGACAACACACACACACACACAACAGACCAACACACACACACCGGCTCAGTCCTGGGTCAGTCCTGGTTTAGTCCTGGTTTAGTCCTGGTTTAGTCCTGGTTTAGTCCTGGTTTAGTCCTGGTTTAGTCTCAGATAAATCCAGGCTGAGTTCCAGGTTTTGGGACATGTCTTTATTGATGTGTGATTCCCGCCCCGGCGGGGACGTGTCACACTGCCCCTCGTCCAAACTCAAAATGTGAAGACGCCAAATGCGACCTCCAAACAGGCTCCGCCCCCTCGCCGCCAAAACAACAAAAGCAAAGAAACTAAACATTTGCATAATTATGATCAACGGAAGACGAACGCGGGGCCCGAGTCTCTGTGCGGCGAGGGGGTGGGGGGGGTGGGGGTGGGTGGGCGTCAGTGCCGGTGTTCGCCCACGTCCCTCGGAGACTCGCCGGAGGAGAACAGATGCGCCGCCCTCAGACCTGTTGCCACGGAAACAACAAAACATCAGAATCACGTATTTTTATTCTGAAAAGTTGAATTTGAGGCTTGAAAATATTTAAACAGGACTAAACCAGGACTAAACCAGGTCTAAACCAGGTCTAAACCTCTTCGGTCGGTCACCTGCTGGGCTGTGGGCGCTCCTGTAAACCTTGGCGTTCTTGTACCCGGTGCTGGGCGGGTTCTGGGGCGGGTTCTGGGGCGGGTTGCCAGGTTGGTGGTTGGGGTTTGTCTCCGGGCGGCTCCTCTTCCGTCCGTCTCCGGTCTCGTGCCCGCTGCCGCCGTCCCCCAGAGGACTCGGCGGCGCCCCCCTGTGGTTCAAACCTTTGGCGCCGTCGTCGGACGAGGCTCCGCCCTCCGGCCTAAAGTTCAGCTTTAGCTCCTCCCTTTGCCCGCTCGCCCGCCGCCGCTTGTCCGCGTGTTTTTTCTCTCTCTTTGTCTCTCCGTCCTTTTCTCTTCTCTCTCTTCCGCTCCTCTCCTTCCCTTGGACCCCGTGCCCGCCAGGCTCCGCCCCCTGCGGCGGCGTGCCCGTCTTTAGTCTCTCTCTGTGGCGGTCGAGAGACGGCCTGGGCGCCTGCGTCCGACCCGACTGTTGCATAGTCACAGAAAAGTCCGGGTTTGAGTTCGGGTCGGGTCTGAGCGGGGGCCAGTCGGAGGTGGAGGTAGAGGGCGCGGCGGCGGGCGCGGCGGCGGGCACATCGGCAGGCACGGCGGCAGGCGCGGAGGAGGCAGTGGGGGCGGTCGCGGCGGTGGGCACAGCGGATGCAGCAGGGGCGAGCGTGTCAGGAGGTAGTGTGTTGGCGGCGGGTTCCCGGTGGAGCAGAGGCTGGTGCTGCAGCAGAGACGGGCCGGGGAGAGCGGCGGCGGCGGCGGCAGCGGCGGCGGCGGCGTCCGGGGGAGCGAGGTCGGTGCGAGGCTTTTTCGCCGCTTGAGTCGCCTGAAACGCAACGAGAAAACTCAGAGGAACAGGCAGAACAAGCAGATTATAAACTTACTGTTTCAGTCACCGAGTCTAATGCTCTAGAACTCTGATATTAAACCACCTCTGACCCCTGACCTCTGACCCCTGACCCCTGACCTCTGACCTCTGACCCTTCAGTTCTAACTGTGACATTTTAAATCTAAAGAACAGACGACTTCAGGGTTAGAAAACTGTGGAGTCCAAATGGACTAGACCAGGACTGTGGGCCCCTCCTTTGAACAGCTGGTTGGTGTTGTGGTCGGGGGTCGGGGGTCGGGGGTCAGAGAGTTTCTGTGACGGCGGTGTCTCACCCTCCAGTTTCGGATCCTCTTGAGGCGACTCGGCGTTTTCTCCAGAATCTGAAGAAACTCGTGAGTGAGCTCTGGAACGGGAGAGGTCAGAGGTCAAACATCAAACAGGTCAGAGGTCAAACAGGTCGCAGTCTCGGCGGTCAAAGTCTCGTCTACAGCCCGACCGATATATATCGATTGACCAATATATTGGCCGATATGGGCACCTGGTGACATATCGACCGATAAGCTCATTGATATGGAGGCATGTGATATGTGACTCTACATTCTGTTCATTTAATCCAGTTTACAGATAAATGTCCAAATATGTGACTCCACATCAGTGTTTATCTACGGAGTCATTTGTCTGTGTGTGTGTGTGTGTGTGTGTCGTACTGTCCCTGAACACACACAGAGTCACGTCACACACGCATGTGTTTGTTTACACTCACACACACACACACACACACACACACAGATCCAAACACTGACATTATTTTCTTTTTACGGACAATCGGTTTGAGTCTGGAGTAAAAGGACATTTATTAGTTCAGACTTGTGATGTGGGAGGAGCCTGTGTGATGTGGGAGGAGCCTGTGTGATGTGGGAGGAGCCTGTGTGAGGCTGAGTGTTGATTATTTGTTCCTGCAGCTGCATTGATGTAAATGAGCTGTGAACAGAGGTGTGAATGATCAACATTTACACATATATTTAATTATCGCCGCGCAGCTAAAGACTAACAGCAGTAGTTTTTTTACTCTCTAATAGTGATGAGTCGGTCACGAATGAAACGGCTCTTAGATCCGGCTCTTTGAAGAGAACAACGGGAGCCGTGTTTTCTCTTTCTCTCACTTTTTTTCTCTTCACGTCGTGTTCAGACTCGTGTTAGTTTGACAGTGGCTCAAAACGAAACTTTCACAAATCTGCGTGTGCAGAGGAGAGAAAAAACTTACATATTTGTCTGTAATTCAGCATAAAATAAATAAACCAGGACAAATGTTGGGCTCGAGAGACGGAGAGAGACAGAGACCGAGTCCAGACACTCAATCCTGGTTCAGTCCTGGTTCAGTCCTGGTTCAGTCCTGGTTCAGTCCTTCTTGCAACAAAACAATCTGAAGAGCCGCTTGGGAGCCGAAAGAGCCGTCTGCTTTTAATGAGCCGAGCCAAAAGAGCCGCTTCTCTAAAAAGAACTGAATCCCCATCATCACTAGTGTCTAGAATGTGATGTGAAAATGTCATTAGTCCGACTGTCTGTAAATATGACGTAAAGAGTCAGAAGAACAATAAATGTTTCCTAAATAAACCCAATTTAAAATCCACCAGAGCCAAACCCAAGTTTTTTAAACAATTCAAGATTTACAGTGAATTTTTTCATCACTAAATATATCAGCGATTATATCGGCAGCTCCAAGTCCTGTTTTATCGATATCATATCAGCTGCAGCAAAATCCATATCGGTCGGGCTCTAGTCTCATCAGAGCGGCGGTGGTGCGTCCGTGTGGTGGCGGTCAGAGCGGCGGTCAGAGCGTCGGTCAGAGCGGCAGT